AAACAAAGATCATTGGAATATGTTTTACAGTCTTTCAGTCTTACTACTTCATTTCATGTTTAATTTAACATGTTACTTGTGTCTTTGTAATTATTTGTGAAATTTACTAGCAATTGATTAGTAAAAATGTTTCATCACCAATTTTTTGGTGTATATGGACTACTAGGTATGGACAGTGGCACAAAAACGGGGTATGCAGTATATGCTGTGCATATAGGGGCACCGAACAGAGGGGGGCACCATTTTGCCGAAATCATTCCGTGATAAAATGTTGAAAATAATAAAAAGCTTAGTTGTTAAAAATAGTGTAATGAAACGTTTTTTAGCATTTTTAATTAGTTTGAAATTTTTAATAAACTGAGTACATATCAACTGCTCACCCTTCGACACATTACTGGTGCAGAAACGCTCTGGGGCGCAGAACAGAAACGACAAAGGGGAAAAAAGAACAATGCATTAAAATAAGGACAGCAATATCAAAGTGAACTAACAGAAATTGGTAAGCTTACTCTATAAAGTCATTCAAAGTGTAACGTTATTGCCTAAGAGGGCAAAGTGATTAACGTTAATATAAGATCATTTCTGAGTATCTTTCAAAAAATAAAAAAGTCACGATGTTTGTGAATTGGTATTTGATTTACATTTGAAAGGAACTGAGAAGATTATTAACAAGGATATTAAAAAAAATGCCGTTTTGAATTCAAAATAGGCCATTTGTGATTCAAGTAGATCCAATTAGTTTTCTTTTAAACCCTTGCTACTTCATACTTAGTATAAAACCATGCTGATCTTTGACATTAAGTGTTTTTTAAATGTTATAATAGTGATTTTACAATGTCTAAATATAAATCCAAAATCAAAACATGTGAAAAAGAGCTATATTACGCTGTGGAAATGGTAAATTATCCTCTGCTATAGTGCCATAGTGGGAATATCATGACATTCATTTCAATAGTTTTTGTATTTCTACCAGGTGGCAGAAATCTTTCACTTAAGCATGGCAATTTTCCATGAATTATCTCTATAAGTAAAAATGGGAAAAAGCCATCAGGAGTTAAAAGGGATGTTATACAACACACTTTTCACCCCCCCCCATATTGAAAATGGCGGAGGGGGTTCGAACCTTTGTCACTTTTTTCACCACTGATGAGTCTGTATCTTTCCATGCCCAAGCTAGTTAATGGTCTTTTGGTCATTGATATTGACAAAGTTTTCTGTGGGAGTTAGTATACTGATCTTGAATACCCCTCAGCAAATGTGCAGTTGCGCCCCTGGGTATAGTTGAAACCGTATGCAATAAAATGTGTTACTTAAATTATACATCGTGCACATCGCTTTACTTGCTCTGGTTTCTGACAGGATTCTCAATGATGCTATTGAGAGATTTAAACACAACTATCACAAAAAGCAGAAAACCATCAATGATGTTTGAGGAAGCAATACTAAATTTATTAATAAGCAATAATATGTAAACCTTTGAAAAGGATAAAAGAGTGTGCAATTTTAGTTATGTCATGTGCAATATATAAATATAGGTTGTACAAATATGTAAATCAAAATACGATTTAAATACTATTTTAATATTTCAATAATATAAAATAAAATAATATTTTACAGATTTTGCAAGTGGTATGTAAAAGTATGTAAATGTGTAGTATAGTTGTAGTGTATGTATGTATGTATGTATGTATATATTATTTTCAATTAAAACAGATTATTGGAGTACATTTTACAAGAAAATACTGTTTCAGTTTTCTACTTTGAAACTTCATGTTAATTCAGTGTTACTTGGCATTTCTTTATAATTAATTGTGAAATCTTCTAGCAATTTCTGAGTGAAAACTGTTCCTGCACTTTTTTTCCCCCCAGTGTATTTTGTAGTGCAAAGGACACCTCCAATCCTTCTCACAAAATCAAAATTGACTCAGTGGCATAGATTTCAACAAAACTCTTTATTTCACTTATATAGTTTATAAAATTAGCTTGCCTGCTTTGATGTCAACATAAAAAGGTATGTGGGACATTTGTTTGTCTGTGTATGTGTGTTGTTCCAGAGAGCGCAAAGAGAGAAAAGCTCAAAGATTGTGTTTCTGTGTTTTGATCAGCTTTGTGTGTGTATATACTGTATATGTATATATATATATATATATATATATATATGTGTGTGTGTGTGTGTGTGTAAGTGAATATAAGGCAACATGCAGTCTTCAGTTTTTTTGTGGCTTCAAAAAAAAGAACAGACTGCTATGTTTGATAGCTTTGTCCTAGTTACCTACAGCAGACACAAGCCTGGGGTGGATCTGAACACACCGTTGAGTGACAGGACAAGGGCGGGGTTTGGGTCGCTATGTTCGTCGTAAAGATCTACACTTCTTTCCCTTGAGTCATCACAGCACAGTGCTACAGAACAGACCAAGACCAATAACAAACTTTGCAATGGTGCTTTAGTATTGCTTTAACATTGCGGGCATCACAAATTCATGATCGCACACCGACTTAACATGCATTGCAACAAAATCAGGACAAAACAGGATGTGTTTGAAGATTTGATCTCTTTCTATAACATTCAAAGGCTCCTTGTCCTAGCAGCCGAGGGATTCAACACCCTTTTTCAACGCAAACCTCATTCAAGCCCAAATCTCATGTGTACAAGCTAATGAAGAAATGCAAGTCTAACACAGCTACATCAAAACGGATAATCGTGTATCTATGTATACAGTATGCGTTCACATTTTGTGAATAAACATTTGTTCGTACTCTAACAAATCACACGCTAAGTCTATTGGTCAAGCACACAGTAACTCTATTCTGCACACATACTGAACTAAAGGAATGTAATGTATCTCTTAATGTACACACAACTTATTGTGTTCATTGCAGCATTTTCAAGACTACATAAATTGAAACATGGCTATGATCTCACAAAGATCCAGACGATCTTTGCATATTTCTCTCTTGATTTTGATTTCTCTCTGAAGAAAGCAGTATTATGGATAGAGGGATCTCTATTTTAGTCAGAAGTTAAAAAGATAGTTCACCCAAAATGATAGAAGAATGACACAGAAGAGAAGAATTGTTAAATAAAAAAGTCATTATTATTGTTTTCTTTGTGCACAAAAAGTATTCTTGTAGCTTCATAAAATTACCACTTTTGATGTCACATGGACTATTTTAACAATGTCCTTACTACCTTTCTGTGCCTTGAACGTGTCAGTTGTGTTGCTGTTTATGCAGAAAGCGCTCGGATTTTATCAAAAATATCTTAATTTGTGTTCCAAAGATGAATGAAGGTCTTACAGGTTTGGGACGACATTAATTACTGACAGAATTTTCATTTTGTGGTGAACTATCCCTTTAATGAAGTGTTAACAATGGATTTTTTTTTTTTTCAAACACACAATGTTTTGCTTAAGATGTTAACTGATGGACTGGAGTCGTGGGTTACTTGTGGATTATTGTGATGTTTTTATCAGCTGTTTGGATATATGTTCTGACGGCACCCATTCACTGTAGTACACCATTCACATTGGTGAGCAAGTGATGTAATGCTAAATTTCTCCAAATCTGCTCTGATGAAGAAAAAACTCATCTACATCTTGGATGGCCTGAGGGTGAGTACATTTTCAACAAATCTTTGGGTGAACTAATCAATATTTGGTCAAAAGACACATAACCAAGCATGTGTGACCATACCTGCTCCTCGTGTCGTTTTATTTTTGTTCCAATGAGTAATGTTAACCAGACTCAGGAATTTTCTCTGTGTACTGGGTGTGTGCTGATGGATCCTTAGAGGGTAACATGCTTAAGGAGTGGTGGATAATTACAGTGGCCTGTGTGAATGTGTTTTGGCTTGATGTTTGTTTGTTGAGAACTGCAGATCTTGATCCTGTAGTGCTAGATTATAAAAACATACTTTGCAATTCATTACCCTTCATGTCTAAAGTTTATTGGCATCATAAAGGAAGCTTGTTTGGACTTTTCCAAACTAGGAGTAAATAAAACGCAATTTTAGCCCCCAAAGTAAAGGCTGACACTATCACGTCAATAATATATAGCTGTAAATTACTGCCCCCTATAGATAGTTCCAGATACTACAGGCTATTTGTGCTCCATAATACAACTATTTAGTTAGTTGTAACCTGTAATCTGTTTTTTTTATTAAAATTGGAGTACATTTTACAGGAAAATACTATTTCAATCTCTACTTTGAAACGTCATGTTTAATTTAATGTGTTACTTTCTTGTTTCTTCATAATTGTGAAATTTAGCTCAAATAAATTTCTGAGTGAAAACAGTGCATTTTGTGGTGTGTACAAAATACTGCTTGCAAAATCACAGTTGACACAGCAGTATAGATTTCAACAAAACTCTTTATTTCACTTATACAGTTTATAAAACCAAACTTGCCTGCTTTGATGCCAACATAAAAGGTATGTGGGACATTTGTTTGTGTGTGTATATACTATGTATGTGTGTGTGTGTGTGTGTGTGTGTGTGTGTGTGTGTGTGACAGAGAGAGAAAGGCTCAAAGAAAAAAGCTTGAGAAGAGTGTGTTTTTGTGTTTTGATCAGTTTTATGTGTGTGAGTGTATGTGTAAGTGAATACAGGAGTGCTGATAAGGCAACATGCAGTCTTCAGTTTTTTTGTGGCTTCAAAAAAAAGAACAGACTGCTATGTTTGATAGCTTTGTCCTAGTTACCTACAGCAGACACAAGCCTGGGGTGGATCTGAACACACCGGTGAGCGACCGGACAGGGATGGGGTTTGGGTGGCCATGATGGCAAGGCTAAATGAAGATGAAGACAGTCAGATCTACACTTCTTAGCATTCCCTTGGTAAAACACAGTGCTACAGAACAGACCAATGACAAACTTTGCAATGGTGCTGTAGTATTGCTTTTACATTGCGTGCATGACAAATTCATGATCGCGCACCTACTTCACATGCATCGCAACAAAATCAGGACAAAACAGGATGTGTTTGAAGATTTGATCTCTTTCTATAACATTCAAAGGCTCCTTGTCCTAGCAGCCGAGGGATTCAACACCCTTTTTCAACGCAAACCTCATTCAAGCCCAAATCTCATGTGTACAAGCTAATGAAGAAATGCAAGTCTAACACAGCTACATCAAAACGGATAATCGTGTATCTATGTATACAGTATGCGTTCACATTTTGTGAATAAACATTTGTTCGTACTCTAACAAATCACACGCTAAGTCTATTGGTCAAGCACACAGTAACTCTATTCTGCACACATACTGAACTAAAGGAATGTAATGTATCTCTTAATGTACACACAACTTATTGTGTACATTGCAGCATTTTCAAGACTAAATAAATTGAAACATGGCTATGATCTCACAAAGATCCAGACACACATTGCTACATGCCCTGATGAAATGAGATGTATTGCTTTTCTTACATTACTGGTCATGCAGGTTTCTTTTTTTTCTTTTTTTCTTTCAGCCATGCTCCTAAAAGACCACTTCAACCTCTGATATCAGCCTCTGGGCTTCACGGTTCCTGTCCATGTATGAGTGTTTGTGTGTGTTTTAGATGAGGTGTGGACAGGCTAAGGAATGACAATAACAATAAAGAACAGCATGACGACACCACAGATGGAGAGGTGGGGAAGCGTCACACATCTAACGGCTACAGGGCTCAGGGAAAGTCTTTTTCAACTTGGTTTTCCATACAGTCACAAAAAATATCAGTAACATCTGGGGTCTGGAAGGGGTGAGGTTTTGGAGCAGAAACTCAGAGGTGGAGAGTCAGAGGGAAGAGAGGGGACTGTTTCAGCTTCAGGCCTCTGGACTAATAACCCTGATGAACAGAAAGAACACAGGTTAAGTCATTTTATATATGGTGTAATACTGGTATTCTTATCTACATAGACGCAGATGCTTTGGACACATTCCATGAAGAGAGTTCGCAACAAAGTCATTCTTTTTTCAGGAAATAGTCAGTGAACGTAAGTGCTTAACCTTAACTGTCAGGATTGCAGATCAAATTAAAAAAATTTAATCGGCATGCAAACATGGCAGGCACCTTGATATCAATTTAATGTCAAATATTAGTCAAGACTTGATAAAGATGCTGTAACATCATTTTAAATTTGGTTTGCATGGCAATTTCTTCCACTGGTAATTGGCTGAAAATAGGAAGTTAATCCCACACTGAAATTGGTTTAATGTATATGTAGGCTATATGTTTTTTATATCTATATTTTACATCAAATCAACGTCATGTTAAGCTTTTGATGTCAGTTTGATTTGCATATTTTACCTCAAATGTCTTTTCAACATCAATTGCCCACTGGGGGGGGGGACACATAACTTCAAATTTTCTAGCATATATATAATAATATATAGTACAGAGTCTTATAAATATTATAATTATGTATTTAAATAATAATAAATAATTAATATACTACTGTTGAAAATTTGGGGTCATTAGGATTTTTTTTTTTAAAGAAATTAATACTTTTATTTAGTATGAATACATTACATTTTAAAAAAGTGAAAGTAAAGACATTTGTATCATTACAGAAGATTTTAAATATTGTTATTCAAAGATTTTTTGAGATTTATACATCTGAAAGCTGAATAAATAAGCTTTCCACTGATGTATGGTTTGTTAGGATAGGACAATATATGGCTGAGATGCAACTATTTGAAAATCTGGAATCTGAGGGTGCAAAAAATCTAAATATCGAGAAAATTGCCTTTAAAGTTGTCCAAAAGAAGTCCTTAGCAATGCATATTACCAATCAAAAATTAAGTTTTGATATATTTACAGAAGGAAATTTACTAAATATCTTCATGGAACATGATCTTTACTTAATATCCTAATGATTTTTGGTATAAAAGAAAAATCGATCATTTTGACCCATACAATGTATTGTTGGATATTGCTACAAATATACCCCAGCGACTTAAGACTGGTTTTGTGGTCCAGGGTCACATATTACTGTTTTGAACAGAAGTATATACATGTGGAGAAATTTAATGTTTTTCTTATATGGTATGCAACATGCTACTTTTTTGTTGTTGTTACAAATTAATTCATTAACACATCATAAAAAATATTAGATTTGTCTCTCCAATGCTTTAAAAATTAAAAAACAAATAAATAATGAGAGACCAAAGTGAAGGGTTTTCATAGAAAGTGTTTTTTCTCTGATCTCACCTCTCCACCATCTCCTCCTTCCATGCCGCCCCCATGAGAGAAGTCACCCTGTGAAATACAGACACCATTAAAATCCAAGATACAGCTGCTTTCTTCTTTTAGATCCATCTGGCATTCATATATTCAGCAGTAAATCTTCATATGGAGTGCAACAACAGCTTTTGTCATGTTAAACAGCCATACTAAATAATATCCATGCAGGGATGCAGCACAGCCACAGGCCTCTCAGACACTGCCTGTGCAGAGGGACAATGTCTGTTCACTGCAGTGTGTTATGACTGCTGTCTCTGCAGAGATGGAGGGAGGGACGAAGGGAGGGATGTAAACGATGGCCATGGAGTTCCTGTGGAAGGAGAATGCAGCTGGCAGGTACTTCTTCTTCTGTCTCTGCCTCTATTTGTTTGGTCTCTGCTGAGCTCTTCTGCTGAGTCACTGTCAGGTCCAGACACTCTGTCCTCCTCCAAGGACTTTCTGCCTCACAACAGTCTTAGTCTACTCTCTTTCTTCTTTCTTCGTTACATCCCCCACAAAATCTTTCCTTACAGCTCTCAAAATCAACATAAAATGCTGTTTGCAACCAATTTTACTTTCATAATCTAACGTATTTCAAAGTTAAACAGGCTATTCAACAAAATGTTGCAATCTGTAATGTAGCAAAAAGTAAAGTTGTTTCAAGTAATAAGTGCTTATATTTTCATGAGAGATTCTGAAGACAAACATCTCATGTATTTTAAGTAACGCTCTGAAGGCCAAACTTTGGTCCTAGATAAGCCATCTTTCCTATATATGCACAATGTCCAAATGTTTTTTTTTAAAGACCATTATTCAACAGTATTTTCAAGAGGAGCATCAGCAAGTAGCAAGAATATCGCACAGGGAAAACAAAAGCATGCATCCACGAGCAGTTAGAAATGCAGAATGCAATGGCACACTGACATTAGTAAGCTGTCTGAGGATGTGAAAGTGTAACTGTTTAGCATCAGTTACTTGATGAATCATACTATTTTATTGCATCTGTACTGTCCTGCCAGAATGAAGATGAGTTATTATCACAATAGAGTTCCCAGGTTGTTAGTTGATGCATTAGGAATGAAAGACTGGTAAATATGAGGACAGATCTGTCATTTGCTTGTCATTCAACTCACTCACATGTGTTAAGTGAAGATTTGCCTCTCTTGATTATGGTATTAGTGTATCAATTTAATTTAGCTGTCAAGTGATTAAAGATCACTGCAGTTCATTCAGTACATCAGTGCCAGTGCTGTTACTAAAAACTAAAACTATTAATAATATTTAATTAAAATGAAGCTGAAATAAAACAAAATAGAAAAATCTCAAACTTAAAAAACTTAAAATTAGAAATGTTGCCTTGGCAACAAACTGATATAAAATAAGTTGTAGTAATTACTAAAACTAAAATGAAAAAATAAAGAAAGCTAAATAAAAATATTTAAAAGAAATGACAAAAACACAAAAAATTACTAAAACAAACTAAAATTTAAATGAAAACAAAAATCTAAATATTCATAAATAATACTAAAATAACACTGATCTGCTGCCTTCCCAATTCTGCGCAGAAGTAGAGTGCCCCCCACACACCCCACCCCAACCCACAAGCAAATCTGTGAACACTTATATATATTAGCTGATTAACTTGATGGGAATTCATGTAATCAATGAGGCAATCAATGCAGCCATTCTTTCTCATTATGCACAATGAAGAGAATGACTCCAAAGGGCATTGAATGAAGGTAACTGAACTCTGCTGTTATATGGATGGTCTCAAATGCAGCATCGAGTATATATATATGCCACATTCACAGGCTACTAGCACTTCTCTCTACAAACCAAATCAACCATTCCAAACCCAATTTAATAAGCACCTCATATAAAGCCTCATCCTGTTAACAGCACAATTGTAAACAGGGAAAAACAAAACAGAATGTGTTAGACACAAAATACCAGTATTTATACAGTATATGTAGTTTAGTGCAGTATTATTAAACAAAACTGTGTTTTAAAGTCAAATAGATGTCGAGTTTGTGGTTATGCCAGATTAGACATAGATCCCTTAGGCTTGTTTTAAGTAATTTAAAGGTGTTTTAAAGTGCAATACACAAGAAAGATTGAATAAAAGACTATGAAACTATTGACTATTAAAAGATGTGAATTGAATTTGATTTTGGAGAAAGGGTGACATCTAGTGCTGGTTGAGAAGAGCATAAACGGGCAGTCACTTACCGGGTTGACTAGGCCGGTTGTTGCAGCCACATTCTCCAGTCCCTCTACTGTCTTCTGTCCAACTTCATTAGTGCTGCCTACCGCTGTTTCACCGACAATATTCGCCTGGTCGGTGGTCCTCTGGGCAACTGTGAAGGTCGATATTACAGATAGTTAATGTAAATGACTTCTCAATTCTCAGTTTCTATTCTCTCAAGATGCACACATATTCATTTCTCACCTGTGTTTACGCCTGACACCATTCCCTCCTTTGTCTTGTTGCCTGAAACAAACATGATACGTTCTTCAGAAATTGCGGATTGGTACAAAAACACCAAATAAAAGTTCCATATAAATAGAGGCAAAGCCATCCTAGTTATGGCTATTCTATGTCAACATGTGAAATATGCAGTTTTTACATTGATATGGACATAACAATAGACAATGTTTTAGAACAGCATGCATTTTTTAAGATTGCTGATAGGTGTCAATCTACTATACATTATAATGACAAGTGTTTCCGTACCCACTGTATATATATATATATATATATATATTACACGTATTTTGCTAGTTAAGCTGATTAACTAAACGAGTTCCACCTGTGCCGAAATGGTTGATTATCTGATCGTGCTCCTCCCGAGCCTTGTTAATAAAACAATTTAATTATAAACATTAAAAATTATAATATTGTGGAAACCCTGATACATGTTTTCCCCAGGATTCTTTCATGAAAAGATGGTTTGATTTTTTTTACTATGTAAAAAGTCTTTACTGTCAGTTTTTAAACAATTTAATGTCTTTGCTAAATAACATTATTTAATAAAAAAAAGAAAAAAGAAAAAACACTGACCCCAAATGGTAGTAATTGTCATATTTAGACTGTTTTTGTAAAATATCAGGAGTTAAAGGGGTCCTATTATGCTCATATATATATTAAATATAGCCTATATTATAATATAATGTGACATCTTTGTAATATATCTGTCCCTAATTTGTCCATATAATGTAATAGTTTTATGTTTTATATATAAAGTATACTGTAGTTAATGCAATGTGATATACATTTGATATACAGAAGAGGCAGTCGAACAGAAGAGGACAGCAGCTCGTAAGCGGTTTGCTTCTTTTCTCAATAGATTTTTATCGCGGTTGTCGTTGCTAGGAACATAGACATAATAAATACCTAGACGCCTCATTGGCCCCTCTACGGCACGTCAACGTCGCCATATTGGTGCGGGCAACTCACCATAACTCTCATATCGGGACAGGCGAAAACATACCTGACTCGCAGGAAGCTTGGGCATCTACAAACCGTCGCACAATAAAAAAAACATATCTCGGGGTATTATCTTTCACAGGTAAGACCATAGACTGTATAAAGACTGAACAGTTGTTTCTGTATGTTTTTTGGTGATTCACACACACACACACACACACACACACACACACACACACACACACACACAAACAACAAAAATATATATCGACTCTATATATCTATTTTTGGGGTATTATCTTTCACAGGTAAGACCATAGACTGTATAAAGACTGAACAGTTGTTTCTGTATGTTTTTTGGTGATTCACACACACACACACACACACACACACACACACACACACACACACACACAAACAACAAGGAAATATATATAGCCTATATATATATAATTTTTTTCTTCCTTTTTAGCCAATTGCAAACAGGACAACGCAAGCCTTAAAGAAAGCTGAAAAAAGCCTGTTCTCTGCATTTCCAAGCTAGTAGGCTATACTTCCACAGCCTAATGTTGTATTTGTACTAGTTAAAACTCAGAATAGCCCCCAATGAATGGCCAGAATGACCCTGGTCATATTCAAACCACACTCAAAAATGGTGTTTTCTGCATGGGTGGGTGCAATTTGCATTGTTTACATTATTTTACTCATTAATTGAATAAAATATAGGAAAATCTTGAGGGAAGCGGTGGAGAATTATTAGTCAGGTTTTGTCATCACAACTAAACCACTCTATTCCTAGGGAAAGCTAGAACTGAAAACTGAAATAAAATGTGTACCTTGAGCGGAGATTGATTCAGAGGATTTTTTTATTATTTATATATATATATATAAATTATACTCAAGGAGCTCATTAATTAAACACAATTTGGAATTCACGACCACAATGTTTTGTGTCGTGTCATTAGTTGCATCTTACTTTGTTTAATAATTATTACACAAATACTATTATAAAACTACATTTCATGATTATTTATTTTACTTTATAATTTACTATTAATTTATTCTTCATTATTGTCTATTCTGTATTATTCCACCCTTGATATTACATATTCTACTTGCTATTCTATTGCTATTGCTATCTATTGTTATTCATTTATTTATTATGGTATTATACATATAATTTGTGCTATTATAAATCTATTATATACTGTTGTACTCACTTTTTATATTATTCACTTTACTACAACTTGTACTACTTATACTTTTTAATATTACATATCACTTTTACAATATTTTTACTGTGCACTGTATCAGTGCATAATATTTTACCACTGTAACTAAGTTTGACTGGATCCATAAAGGATTAGGATCAGTTGCATTTGTTATTGTTTGTTGTGGAGTTTATCTGTATAGAGTGCTATCA